ATCACTGATTAGCAGGAATCTCACCTTGCCAAGCCTTTAAAGCCTTGCAGAAAGTGCACCAATTAAGTGTTCAAATCCTTCAGCCTTAAGCCATATGTCAAGGGAAAATAATTCACTGGCACAGGGCTTTGGGTCAAGCTTCTTAGCCCAGCAGTTGATGTGATAATGCTTTTGCATTGTGCTGCTTGCCCACCCAGGAGGAAGGAGATGGAGACCTGGCTATTGTTTCTCTCTAACACAGAGTATTGAGGAATACAAATGTAAGTTTCACTCATTAATAATCTCAATTTTAAGGAAAGGTGATGGAGGAAGAGTGCTTAAAGTGTTCTTGGCTGAGTGAGTATTCGTTGAAAATGCATTGTGTTGTGCTGCCTCACAGTTCTGCCTGCAGATCAGCTCTGGCTGTCACTACCCTCTGCTTGCACCAAGAGGGGAGGGAGCCTTGGGAGTAGATTCTGGGGAATGAGCAAAGAAATCAGATTTAGTTATGGATGGGGAGTGTTGATTTCTTAGGACTGGCAGAGAGCATACAAATGTTCACTGAGTAAAGCCACATGTTTAGCTGCAGGCTGGGTTAAAATACAGATAGTGAAAGTCCATGAGAAGCTCCTTGGAAACTGGAATTACTGGGTGAGACTGGCTCCCTGTGCCCCAAGTGCACCGTTCATGGAATGGGGTCACCAACATTTGAGAAGGCAAAGAAAAGCCCCAAAATCATGACTGAAAACTCATACTGACTATAGGGAATTTCCTGCTGTGCAAGAAAAGCCTCACTCTTCTGAACTGTAAAATTTGTTGCTTTTCCTGACAGAGAAAGGTCTGCAACCATTGTTGCAGTGCTGCCATCCAGAGCCCCTTGTGCATGCCTCAGCATTCAGAGATCTTAGACCCAACCTGCAACAAGGTGCTGTGAGAACACAAGGAAACCCAAAGACCTCACTAGAAAGACAAACCTAGAAATACTTCAGGCATCCTCTAGCAGAAAGTTGCTTCTGCACTGAGCTAAACACTGAATGCTCAAGTATCACCAGCCACCCCTTCCCCTTCCCATGAAGAGAAAACTTGCTGGTAAAATTGATATGTGGCAAGATCTGTGATTGCTGGCTGCCTAATTGAAATGTTGGTACCTCATTCTCCTGGCTTCAGATTCCTGCGCACCCACTTTGTTCTTGCTGCTTGGCATCTCTCAGGTAAGTCAGCATGGAAAGAAGCCTGCAGTAGGACAGGGGGCCAAAGTTGGGAGCTCCTAAGCTTTAGGTCTATGACCTAGCTGAAAAAGCAACCTTTCCTAGAGCTCATATTTGTCCAAGGAACACTTTCTTAAGCTTGTAGCAGCTCTACCTCCTGCCAGTGCCAAGTCTGAAATACGTACGTGTGGAGGGGAAAAAAAATAATGAGATTGATGTAAATTAGGCACAGACGTGGAATACAAAGATCAGATATTGTGAACAATCACTGGACTTGAGTTTGGTTTCAAGTGAGTTTGTCCACCTGCCTTCGGTTGTCTCAAATACAACCATAATACCGGGCACAGTTTTGCTTTTACAAGGTCGCTGCATAAATGTTTATGTGCTGTGAGTTAAATCATGCACTTAAAGAGGGAAGAGGATGAAATGGAAAACTTGCTAGCCCTAATGATGGATGGATTGCTCATTACTCACACTAACAGACAGCCAGCCCAGGCAGGAAGTTTCCATCCAGTAAATGTATCTCTCTGAAAATGTGCCAGGTAGAGGTAAAGAAAAATGTTAGTTTAGGCATTTTGAAATACTTATTGAAGGGCTCTGGACTCCTTCTGCAGAAGGAATAAAGAAGAAACTGTGATGCTAATAAATTCTGAAGAGCAAGCATAATCTGAGATCAATAATGCACATTCTTATACTCGTCTTTCTCTATAGCCAGTTCTGCCACCTGTTCTATCTTATAATAGTGTTTTATAATGGACACATCTATCTTTCTTCATTAAAACCAACATAATTGATTAGCAACTAAGGAAAAAGCTTTATAAACTTCTCTGAGCTGAAAATTTGATTAGTATAAGATAGTCAAAGATTGCCAAATATTACACTTATTTCAAAACTTTTGGAAAATGAATGGCAGTCGCGTCTTCAGCCAGTTCCTTTTTTAAATGGCCTTAGCTCTATTAGACAGCTGCATTAAAGAATAATTTAGATCTTGGAAGTTACACCACTATTTTATCTGTTGAACTGAATCTCTTGAAACACACACATACAGAAGCAGTGGGAAATGACCCATAAAACATAAATATCTTTTGGTTATATTAAAAAAAAAAAGCTTGTCTGTGTGTTTATACAGTACCCACAGAGGACGAATTCAGAGGTACAAATAAACACACTCTGCTCTTTCTTCTATGAGCCATCCTTTTGTTACACCCTTACAAAAGGGAGCCTGTTCTAGGAGGCTTTTAGGTGAGAAGGGTGAGGTGGGACCAGTCCAGCTTTCCCACATCATTACATTCTTTTAACAAATTGATAAAACTCCACTCTATAAAAAGTTGAATTCCTTCCTCAGGCTTCCTCCACTGTAAGATTAGGGAAGAACTAGAGGTCTTTTATGTCTGTATTTCCACAGACATTTCCTGTTTTTCTACCTTATCATTATTTTTTTCATGATTTCTGGCTTTCTGGCTGCCTGAACACAGTGCTGCTTCCTTCTACACATCAGGCATTGCTGCAAAACTCGCATCACTCACCTACATAGCACTGGAGCCATTAGTAATTTCACAATGATAAAAATAGCCATCATCTCAAAACTCCTTCCAGCCGAAGGCCTCAAATGCTCAACTACTGCAGGACCTGGAAACACAGTGCTTCAGAAAGATCATCAAGGAGAGGAATATACTACTATTTAATCAATGACTGAGTGGCAGATACTTTTAGGAGACATTCCATGCTTTTTCTATGAAATTTGAATCAAGAGGGATGCATATCCCATAAGCACAGTGCTGTGATGTGCTGAAGACTTGAGTTCACAGGATGTGCTGTTTAAATCTCTGCAGACCTTTGAGCACAACCCAATGCCCCACATTGCCACAGAAGAAGACTTCCACCTGACCCCAGTTCATAGGGTTACAGAGAAAGATGACCATCAACAAGACTGAACAGCAAACAGGGAGGAGAACTATGGAGAAACTTTGGAAACAATGAAGGTGTCAATTTGAAAAGAAATTTTAAAAGAAGCGCAGAGATTTGTGACTGGTAGATGAGTCTGCTGGTTAGAAATGGCAGCAGCCTTTAAATTATGTCTCATCAGAGACTTTGTTAATGAGATAATGTATTTGATACATAATGTGTTTGATTTGTGATCTGACAGGAAAATTTTTATGTGGATCTCATCTGGAGATCTGCTCTGCTGGAGTTTTGTAAGTGAGCCCAGGATAGGGGTAAGCTTTCTATCCTCTTTTTGTTATCATAATCTGCTTTGCCAAACTCTCCTCTTTATTTCGTAATTATAACATCTTAATATTCATTGATCATACAATCATACACCTATTTCCTTTCACAATTGATGGAACCCATACAAACATACGATGATACATACATATACATATTTATAAATTCAAAAGATATTGGGGAAAATTCTATTGCTATTGCCCTTAGAGTCCTCTATATTCTATTGCCCTCGGACTATAGCAACTGCAAGACTGTAGCCAAGCAATGGTTAAAATACAATTAAAAAAACCTACTTTTCTATAGCACCACAACCATTACTGTTGAATTACAGCTCTGTGTTGTTATCTAGCAGTGATTTGGACCTAAATTAGCCCTGGGCACAGGGTCCCTTTTCTGCCAAGTTTGGCAGAGCACATGATACAGAGTTTATTTTGGCTTTATGCTTTCCTGATAGCTATGTGCTGGCAGTGTGGTAAAAGCCAGTACCTGATTAAACTTGAAGCCTGCTGTTGCAAGGCATACCTATCAGAACTTGCATTGGTCAAGTCAGTTTGCACCAAGCCGATGTGATTTGTGTCTTCTTTCTTTAATGTCAGGAATTAGAATTCAAAGTTAAACAAATTTTACCATTTTACCTCATCCTGAAACTGGTAAGTTCTTGTCCTCATAATATAGCCTACATGTCAGCCGAGAGCCCTAGAAAAATAGCTGCTGACACTGCAGTATATAGCATTTCTGCTTTTGGGGGGACGAAATTCAGTCAGTGTTTGTTGTTTTTTTAAGAAGGCAAATGAAAGAGCTTGAAATTTGAAGCGAGCGGTGCTTCTGATGGAAAGCATTCTTTGTGGGGAAGGTTTCCTTTGTTTTCTAAAGATGGTCGGATTCTGTCTTTACCTGATATGAATTGAAAGTTTTTCCAGTACTAAATTACCTCCAAAAAAGTGCTTTGTCCTGAGCTCCTGAAGGCTTTGTTCTGAGCCTTGGTGACTTTCAGCTGCAGTGGGGCCACTCACCAAGGGCCCTAACCTAGCACCAGGAATCACCTGGAGCTGAAAGAAGGACCTGGGCACTGGCATGAGGCAATTGCAGTGATCTAAGCTAAGCACAAGGCAGACAGCCTCCTTCTGCCACATCTGGAGCTGGCACGTTGTCTTACACCCAGCTTTGGGAACAGGAGGCTGCAATAACACAGCCGCCAGGTAACAAATGCAGAGGATATTGGGGCCTCAGCAGGAGATGGGAATGAAACTCCCATAAAGCTAAACATGTGAGAAGGTATTTTTGGGATGTTGCCCAGTCATCCAGACTCAGTAAGGAGTCAGATAAGACTCCACACACAAACTTAACAACAAAAAAAGTTTGCAGGCCTTTAATGGGAGACAGCCAGCCCTACTTCCCACAGCACCATTTCAGCCTTCAAGCTGAACTTTATATTTGATTAAAACTGGCAGGCAGTGGGAATTTCATGTTTCATTTTTGCAGCCAAAATTCTGTTGCACTTTCAGAAAATCATATGTAGTGCTAATAGAAACAATTCAAAGAACATTTTTAAATGAGTAATCCTTTTTCATTCTTAGACATTCATTGTCTGATGCTTTATTTGTCATCAAAATTTGCTGTAATGATGCAGAACTTCAGATTTAATTTTCTTTCTCACAAATGCACGTGCTGTTAAAATGACTGTGTAGCCATAGTTGTAGCACAGTCTTGCTGAGTTCATTTAATTTCTGTATACAAGAATTCTGGTCTATACTTATGACTGCCTCATTTTCTCACTATCTTGAGGAATGTCCCATTCCACTAAAAATATTTCATGTGAACAATATACGCCGAACTCAAGAGTCTACAGCAGGTATATTTTAAAGCATATTAATCCTGGAGTCCTACATTTTCTGAACTTTGTTTTGCTTTCTATCTGCCACTAACTTCTAGCACTTCCAAGTGAACGATTTATAATCCTAAATGCAAAATGCAGTCTTCCTATTTATGTATTAAGGTATGTAGATTGTATGTATGTGACTTCAGAGGTATGGATTCATTTTAAATCCAATTGTTAAGTTTTCTTACAGATTCCAGTTATGATGTTGAATACAGATGCTAAGATATTGGACTTAGTGCATTATACATATTGTACAATTTAAGTTCTTGTATCCTTCCTGTGTAACAAAACCAGGATCATTCTTTTGCCATCCCTGCTGTGTGTTTGTGTCCCTCAGCTCAGACTGATATCAGACCACTTTAGAGGCTCCAGTCTCCATTTTTTCCTCTCTCCTGGGCAGAGGTAAACAGACCTTGCAGGGGAGCAACTAAAAGCCGATTTCATGTGTCAGAATATAAAACATTAGAGAAATTTGAAAAAAGTAGCTGATCTAACTGCAGTAGTATCTACACTGTCTCTGATAATGTCTGCATTCTGGTCTCATGATATGAGCCTGCATTAAACACAAAGCAAACCCACAAGCACCACTGGAGATGGCCACTGCCAAGTTTGTTTCCATTCCTTTTCAGAGGTGTAGCAGGCAGCAGTTCAAGCCTTAACCAGGTGTACAGCAGGCAGCAATGCCCTGCAGTGGCAGCAGACTCCTGGGCACTTACTAGTACAGAGCTCTTGACTATCGGTCTGCTCTCTTGCAGGCACACAATTCAGAGATTGCTCCTTCCCTTTAGGCAGCAGATTTTTCTTGTCTTCAATCCTGGGATCACAGCTCTCCACAGAAGGGGCCTGAAGCAGCACAAGGACATATTCTGCGGTGGGAAGAGAAATTGAACCATTAAAGCTGTGTTTTTAAAGCAGTTATCTATCTGAGGTTCTTCATGTTTACAGATCCACTCTTGCCATTTCACTATTTTGCTGTAAAAAATGGAAAAGAGGACTGAGCTGTAAGAACATACTTCTTAAACTGCAGCATTTTCAGCAAATACGCTTCTGCTTTGAACCCAGGAATTCCCCATGCAAATTAATTTATGGCCTTTAACACACAAGTTCACCTAAAACTACAAAATGAGTTTCTCTGGGTTTTGTTTGTATCTGGTCCGTACCACTAGGCAGTTGTTTGGAGAGATAGTGAGACTGTGTTCGGATAACATCAGCAAAGTTCTGTGAAGTCTGAAATTCTGATAACCAGCACAGTGATCTTATATTACATGTACTTTCCACTGATGAAAAGTTTTCTTCAAATAGTGGGTGGCTTGTGGCTTTGAATCTATAAATGAAGCTGTTTGAGCAGCCCTATGAATGGGTTGTGGTAAATGTAGAGAGCAGTTCTTCTCTAGTGTTTCTGATAATTGCTTTATCAGAGTCTATAGTTACTGTTTCCCATTAAATGCTTAGTACATTTACTTAGCTTTCAGCTGAAAGATGATTTTCCAAACTCTAAACTTTCTACAAGCTCTCTTTATTTCATGCATCATCACTGACAGTAAAGATAACTCAAGCTAAATCATACCATTAAATCTATCTTTGTAAAATCATCTGTGGTTAAAATATGCCTTCAGAAACATCTGAAAAACCACATTGCTTTGCAGTGTGCTATTTTGGCACATGAGATGGTAAGAATTGATTTGACTGCCAGATCTTTGTGGATTTGCAGCTAAAAAGCACCTCTGTTTTCCAAATGAGCAAAGCGTATAGTGTAATAGATGAGACTTAATGAACCTGTACCTGTGAACTCTGTTCCCACTCAGGAAATTTTGGCAGCTAAAACTCACTTTACATTTGGGTTTCAAAGAAGGTGATATTAAACACATCACTTGCACTTTGGCCAGGACTCTTTTAGTGTCAACGGCAAATAGCTTTTGTGGATAGAGCTGCACATGATGATCTCAGGGGCACTACAGACTTTTGTTTTTGCAAGCTCCTGCTTTTTAAAAGTGTTTGGGAGTATGTTAAAGCAAGGGCTTTCACTTTCAGTCAAATGCATTGTTTGGATGTTATTCCAGGTTTTCCTGCACACATTACATGGCAAGAGATCAAACCTATAGATTGCATTCAGTTAAACAGATCATGAAAAATAAGTAAGTGTACAACCATCACTACAGCCTAGTCAACAGCTGTACACCACTGATTTCACTGTTTGGTTAGGGATAAGCTGACAGAAAGATAATGATATATTTCAGTATTCTCAAAATCTGGAAAGAAGGTACCAACCAAGAAAGTATTCATGGATTTGATTTCTATGGATGGTAGTTTTTGTTTGCCTCCAAAGGTGCAGCCCTTTCTATTTACCCTGACATTTTTTATGCAAACACTGGCAGGGTAGAGCTTAAACAATGGGAAACCTGGTCATAAAGAGTGCCTTGTGCCGTGTTCTCCCTTCACATCTACAGAGAACAACAGGAAATAAGTTGTTTGTCAGGGCAATAACTCTTGCTGACAAAAGAGCTCCGAGTTGGACAGTGGAGAGGGAAGGGGAAGTTCCTTGATCTCCCTTGTCCCAGTAAAATGTGCTGGATTTAATAAAAGCTGAGCAGTATGCTGCTCTTGTCCTCAACAAAGCAGGATTGAGCCAAAGTGAGATATAGTATTTCTCCAGCTTATTTTCTTTCTGTGGAGCAATGTTAAAAATTTGGGCCTCAGCACTGATAGCCATCACTACATGGAGTTTATCACCATCCACCTGCACAGATGCTTTCCTTTGCACCAGCTCTTGGAATCCTCCTTTTGTCTGCCAAGTGAACTATGCTAAAATACTTTTCTGCTGATTTGGCAGGATTAAGAAATAAATTAAAGCACCCGAAGTGCCTAGAAGTCTTGTTTTACCAGCTGCTTGCAAAAATCTACTAATGATTACATTTTAAGTCCTTTTAGCACTTCAGGTTCAGCAGGTTAAGCCTACTGGACCTAGTGGCATGGGAGTCATGTGTCTCCCGTATCTGAGAGATCAATGTTTTATAGCAGGTTGGCTTAACAATAAACAGTGAAAAAAGAACCATCACTTTACACATAGTTCTATTAAACATATAGTACTACCTTGCCAATGTATCTAAAGGCAGTGTAGTCTCTGGCAGCCATGGTCACTTCTTGCCAAGCTAGAGCTGTCAGGTGAGCTCATACAAATTTGTTCCATTCATGGAAAATGAAAAACCTCAAGAACTATGAGAACATTAAATGCAATTAGGAACTCATTTCACCATCCATAAGGGGTTGATTCATTAAATTTAGCCCTATCTCTGCATAATTTCACTTAAAAATCTATGTGAGAATGTGATAGTTTAAAAATATATTAAAGAAAATAAAGCAAATACGCAGACCAGAAATTCTTAGAAATATTTCTCCCTGCTATTTTGCCACAGACTCCATTTTGGCTGGGTCACTATTTCACACATCTGCAGCACCTGAAACTAGCTGCAGTATTTGATATGGTAAAGGTAGCTCCTGCCTTTTTTTCCACAAGGAATCAAGTTTAAAACCAAGACAGTAAATTCCATAGGAATTTTTAAATTTTCCTGGAAAAAGTTATTCTCCACACCTAAGCAAATGTGTGTAAGCTTACTCAGCTGCAGCAGTCTGAGCACCTCTCTAAGCTCAAAGTCCACTTCTTGAATGATCTAACACTCAAATTCTCAGATTCACATAATTGATTAAGATTAAAAAAAAAAAAAACAAAACAAATAGCTTGTGCTGGAAAACCCATTCTATTTCAAAGCAGTTTTATGAAAACCAATCAGAAAACAGTATCTTTACCTTTTGGAATTAACCAAACTCTGAAAAGGGTATGTATGATTTCTTTGAACTTCTTAAATATCTGATTTTTCAGAAGCAGGATCAATCTCGGTAATTAGGAAACCTAAGTGACATTTGCCAAAAACATTTCCTGATGACTTAGCCTTTCAGAATATGCTAAGCATCCCTTCAGGATTTAAGATACCCCATGGCTTACTGAGGCCAGCACTGATGATTATCAGTTGAATAGACCCAGTTAGAAAAGATCTTGCCCCATGAAAACAAGGACTCCCTAGAGGAAAGATAACAAAAATGAAAGGTTTATCCAGTCATCTGTTTCAGTACCTTATAGTCAACAAAGGAGTAAGGTAGGCCAGCTGCTTACTATCTCTTTTCTTCCGATGTCTTCATTTGAATCACCTGAAGAGCTAGGTTGGCAGGCTGGTTGACCTCCTGTGATTAGGATGCATTTGTGTGGATCAGTAGTGAGATGTCTTAGCTTATTGCCAGCATTAAATGAGGGCTGTTCTCACTAGTGATGTTCTACCAGTCTTTTGAAGGGCTGTGAGAGTGATGTACTGACCTGGGACCTGGAAAAGTGGAGGACCACAGGACAGAACAATTCATATATCACCAACAAATTTACTAGTAACTTGCTTCATTTCTTCACAGTTTGTATATATGCAACTGCATTATTGATTTAGGAGTGTTTACTGCAAAATTCTGTTTCCATTTATTACTGCTGTAGTTTTCTGTAGTAGCCTTCAGTTGCTGCAGTCCCATACCTCAATAGTTCAGTGTACTTCAATAATGATGGTTGCCTGGTAATGCTTTGTCAAAATTTCTTTATTAACAACAGTGAACTTGGGTTTCCTGCAGATGGCTTGCAAGTAACTCAATAGGGATGAATATTAAAAGAAAACTAAACTTTTCACTACAGATCTCAGCTCAAAAGTTTGCATTGCAGAAAGGGATTGTCTGGATATGAACTCGGCCCAGTATAAGAATATTAAACCACTCAGACCTGAATGTTGTCAGTGTGGTTATACACAAACATGGAGATTTAATTTTGGCCCAATATCCAAGTCTCAAGCTTGCTAGAATTGCATTATATAGTGTTAAGAATCAATTTCTCCCCTAGAAAATGAAGTACTTTGTGTAAACCAAATCCAAACCAAACCAATCTCTGTATTTGGTGTGTTGAATGGTCTTCTTCCAAATGTGAAGAAAGTTAATAGTTTCATATCCTACTACATTCAGTACCTGAACTTCTTAAAAAAAAAAAAATCTAAAATCCGTTTTACATTTTCACATCATTTCCAAATGTGTTAATCCTGTGAGCTTTTCTCCTGTAAATAGGTGAAACAAACTCCTTTGGGTTATGCCTAACAGCACTGCTGGGATTTCTGTAAGATTCTTTTTAAAATATGATTGAAATAAATAAAATATAGTGGTGTTGAGAAAAATGTTTCCTGCAGCAGCAGGATATGCGTTATTTTTAAACACAAGTCCCAAGCTGGGCAGAAGTCTGTGAAAATCAAAGGCTTTTTTTTTTTTTTAAAGATAGAAGACCATGCAGATTTGGCATACTGACAAAATCTCACTTATGGAATCCATTCAGTGTCTTAGCCACAAAAACTGTACTAAGAACACCAACAAGACTTCCAGCTTCCAGAATACTGTATTTCTTCCTCCCTTTTCCCTTCTCTGCACTCATTTCCTGAAAGCTGGCTCATTAAAGAAGGGAAGCGATTTTTTTTTAAGCAAATAATTAGCTATTCCTGAAATTCCATCCTAGGGGTTGACCCACTGTCTTTGATGGTACACACAGTACCACACTTTCACCTAAAAATCTGATTCCACAAGTTTGATTTTGTTGTAAAAAGTATATTTCTAAAAGAATACTTTTTTCCCCCACATAGCACATGCATTTTCAGTGCTGTCATTTAAAAAAAAAATGCATTAAATAACTAACTAAAGCTTTTTTTTTTTTTAAGTTGAATTTTTAAATTCAGTCTGAGATCACGTTAAAGGATAAATAAACAATCAAAAAAAGCATCCAAATGCTTACATGCCATTACATTTTTTGAGATGTTTCAGTGGGTGAATCAAAAATAGCAATGGAAGCTTTCTATGGGTAAGAAGAATGAAAACAAGAACCTGAAGACCCTTTGCATCTAGTGTATTTGGCTTGTTTACTGGCTTACTTATTAATATTTTTTGCTAGGCTGCTTCAAGTACTGCGCCACCTCTGTTCTCAGCTAAAGTCATGGAGGACTCCTTACATTCCACAGACTCCATTGAGGTGGTGCTGCCATCTTTCCCCTGTCCTTCCTCTGTCCCCGTTACCCCTGTGCCACCTCCTTCTCCCCTGTGCCAGGTGCAGGGATAGGATAACAGTAACCAGATCTGAGAGGTCGGGGGTAGTTACTCCAAATCACACAAGAACTTCTTAAATCTCACAGACATCAGTTGTCCTCTGCCTTCAGGCTATCCCTGCCCACTCTCTGATGGGTAGAGCTAGATGGCTGATTAAGCTAATCAAATACTAATTTCTAAAGGGGGTAACAAGAACCCAGTAGGAATGCAGTGGTGAAACTGCATGTTAGTGACTTAAAATTCCTTCTAAGTTACATAGGTTTTTATTGTTACACTTTGTTTCTGAAACACCAAGAGGGATATGAGGCACAGAGACAAGGGATGATGCCGTTGAGGTGTGCTGTGCAAAAGCGCTTGTGATCCTTGTATGTCCTTGGGTACAGAACACTACTATTTTGGCTATTGTTACCAAAGGTGGCTGTAGAAAATTGAGCCTATAAACAAGTAGTTTGAAGACCACTGGGACCACAGAGGTCTGATTTCCTGTAAATTCTAGCGTCAGGTTTTATAGACCTTTGTCCTCTAGTTTTCAAGGTGGCTAGAGCATGTATTTGGGCTCCCTTCCATGCGAGCTCTCTGGTGTCTAACAACATTAGAGCTCACATTACCCTCTCTCCCTCACTGGTGGCATTAATAGGGTTTCTCTCCTCTGCCTGCTTCACACTTCCAAAAAACCTACTGGAACCTGAGACTCTGAAACCATTACAAGTGTGGTTGAAGCTGTGCTTGCTAACACAAGGTTTGAATTTACCCATGAACATGGAGTGATCTTAACTGGGCAGGGGAGCTGTAATTCCACCAACTCTACTGTGGTTGCTGAGGCAGCCAGGAGGCAAAAATGTATGTGCATGAAAAATCTCAGGATTTTAGGAAACGTTCCTCCCAAATTGCAGCGATAACACTGCAAAAACACCAGAAGCTATTCCACCAAAGTGAAATTCTGTAGTACTTTGTTACAAAGCATAATTAAAAAATAAATAAGGTGCCTTGTGGTGCAAGAAACAGGAAATCAAACTGGAAATCTAGATGCTCTGGGAATCTTTTGTCCTACTCTGCTGACCAGGCAAGCTGACGAGAGAGGAAGGCAGATCGGCCACAGCACCAGAGATTCTATAGTCAGCAGGAAAGTGTTTCATGACAAAGTGTGTTGCTGGATCCAGCAGTTGCTACTAATCCACATGGTGTTGTTATGAGTAATATCAGACCCCAAACAGTGCCAGACCCCATTGGCATCTCACATGGTACATTGGCAAATAGGAGAGAAAAAAAAAATATATGATAACAGAACACTAATATTAACTCTGTAGAAGAGGGAAAAAAAAAAAAAGATCTGTTGCACATTGTTCTCATTAAGTAAATGATTTACTGGAATTTCCTCTTACTTTGCAACTTGCTTGAGAACATATTTGATCTCAGCTATCTAGGGCCTGGATAATTTCATCTGGTTCTCTGCCAGCTATGACACAGCCATTTAACACTGTCACTTTTCTTGGCCACCTCCATTCAGTGTCTGTTGTTGGCTTCTGTTTCTAAAGTAACAGGATGTGATACCTATGTGACACCAAGAACGAGTCCAACAGATGACAGGGAGCTCTCATCTGGCTCTGCTTAAAGCTGGCTTATCACTGAAAATTTTGTCTGAAGCTGTAAAGCACAGTGCCGGCTTTTTGTTCTCCTTATAAGATTTGGTTTTGTATGTCTCCGGGGTTAAAACAAAAAGATATTAAGGGATGTAGTAGAATCTGTATAACTGCAGATAAATCAGACTTGATTAAGTTTGGTTATCTTAATTTCTGTCCTCAGCTGGTTGGACACAAGCAGTTGGGACCTGTTACCAGTTTCCTTGCAATCTGGAGCTGTTAGCAATGAAACTGAGCACAGAAGAAGGTTGACAGCTGACTCGGTATGAGAAATAAGTAAAAAAATAAATTAACAATGGGTTTGAGACTCTGAAGGATAAGACATCACGTTCTCCTCTCTAATTTCCATGAATATATGAACACAACATTTTTGAAGATAAAATCTGTATGTAGAGTCATAGAATCATTGAGATTGGAAAAGATCTAAGGTCATCTAGTCCATCTACCACCAATAATGACCACTAAACTATGTCCCTAAGTACCACATTGACATTTAACACTGAAGATAAGCATCTGTGGGGAGGGATATGCACATGTGGTGCATATGTGATTTCAATACTGTGAGTTTAGTCCAACTGCTTAAGCACTAATATTCTGGCATCAGGACATAATGAAGACATAATCAAGACACATTAGAGACACTTTGGAAATTTGACCATGAAACTTTGGGACACCAGGAATTTAACAAATTGTCTGCTATCTACAAACTTATCACTTATGCATGTTATTGGATTAGGAATAGAAACAGACCTGATTACTGAGTTGCAAATCAATAATGGTTTCTAAAACAGCTGATGAAAATTACTTTAGTACATCCCTACTTATCTTGTTTATGGCACTGGGTAAAATTAGCTGCTGATAATGGAGGGAGCCTGGCAATCTGCTGCTTGTGAGGATTTCTGTCTGCTTTTGCTAGTTAAAAAAGTAAGACTGTTATGCAAATTGACATTTTTATCACCAAAAAGATTTCTTTTATGGCTTGCAAATATTGTATGTTGGACAGAAAATATTTCTATACTGAAAAATATATTTAAAGAGTAAAAACACTTAATTAGATTTTATAGTAGCTGTATTTGTCTAACAGAGAGAACAGATTACAAGGAGATCAATATGCAGAACCATTTGTTGCAACAACACAAATACAAGTTGGTTGATGGGAGTCTAGAATTAGCCAGGAATGTACCGAAAAAACCAGAACCCATGCTGCACATCCAGCATTGACTAAGAATCTGCCTATATATTACCTGCCATGTTATTTATTACAAGCCCAAAACTCAGAGGTAAACCCAATATATGAAACAATCAGTGTGCAGGGCAACTAGTTATGGCTGCAGTTTCTTCACCCTGAGGGGCTTAGAGCTGCATGGACCCAGGTGCTCTGTGGCACAGTTTGTGCCACCAAAAGATGGAAGGGGGAGGAAAATTTGATGGTGACTACGTTGGCATGCTAGGCAGAGATATCCTTTGAATAGGTGCAGGGGACACATCTTGACCTCTGCTCTCCCCATGCTCTGGGCTTACTGTGACTGTCAACAGCACTACTGACCCCAGGCCTATGTCATTACTTCTTTATAAACCAGGCATAACTTTATCCAACATGTATTGTTTACAGAAATTAAAAGCTGTGGTGTGTATGCGTCAAGATAAAAGGATATCTTTTAAAGACTTTTCTGTTGCTGCATTTACAGATCTCTCCTTGGGCTGGGTAGTACTCAGACACACACTGCCTTATTCTGTATCACTCCAGCCTAAAACATTAAAGAGGTCCACTTATAAATTCTTATCGACACAGCATGAAGACAGGAAGAAAATCACTTTTAAGAAACAGCATGCCTTTTAAAATAATCAGCTCAGACTTCTGGTTCAGATTAAGCACAATAAAGCTTGGGTTGCACCCATAGCATATCCTTTGGGGAAGAAAACACCACAGAAGCGTTGTTCACAAGAATGGATGAAGCTTGGAAAGATCAGTAACTAGTATAATCTGGAACCTCAATTCAGATGGTTTGCTTTTTAAAAATAGGGTTCACTGGGGCAAATTTATGCCAGATGTAACAGCCATAGCCAGCAAAACTAATTATTTCTATTTAAAAATTCCACTGCTAACACAAACGCTGCCTGAAATGGTGTGGGTTCATATTTTCAGTGTATGAAAGGGCTCTACAACTGCTGACATCTCTGGAAGCAGTTTGACCAGCACAGCCAGGAGTCCTCTGTGGAAACACAGAAGGCTTGTGTTTCATGATTAAGGGAAACACGACTTCCACTATGGGTAGTAGCCATGACAATGGGAGATCATCCACTGGCGAGTCCATCATCAACCTATGAAGCCATGCACAGCATTATATGCACATAACACAGCATATATGGGCATTCTTCCCACATAAATGTAAATTGCGCTTACAGGGGAGATGGAGTATTCCCTTACTCTGTAAAAAAAGTTTTAAATGCCTCCAGTTAGTAGTCCTTGTCAGCACATGCATATGCTCACACATGCTTGTGCTCATAGGACATACAAATACACATTTACAGGGAGAAGAGGAAGTGAGAAGTCCTATGCACTGAATATTAAGTCTGGCTCCTACTCTCAAACCACGCAATAGTATTGCAGATAATAAAATGCCTTCCCCCCCCCCCCCTTTTCTGACCATTTATAGCAAGGCTATCCCTGAATACAAAAGCAGACAATTTCTTGTATTTTGATTGTGAAGTCTACAGGTTTTTTTCTACATATAACTTAAAAAATTCACTTTCAAAAGAGGTATTAACATGAGCTGTAAAGTTCTGACTAAATTTGGAATCTATATACTCTGTGTTTAAAGTTACAGGGCAGTTATGCTGGCTAAACTTCACTAGAAGAGATTGACATATCTAAAGTTAGCAAGTACGTAGAGCTAGATCCAGGGATCCATCCTAGCCCAACAGTTTGGGTTTAGCTAATGCAACTCAAAATTGCTATGGTCGAATGGCTGACAGATTTTTCCTAAACTGTTTTCTCAGTTGTATTTTGCACTGAGGAGGGGCTCTAAAACCATCAGGAACAGGAATTTGTGCAGTTTGCACTTACGTTCATTATCAAGAGTGCATAAAAGTTATGAAGAACCTCAGAACACAAAGGTACAGGGTCTGTTGTGTTTTTGTTGCTGTTTTTTAACAAAACATCTTCAGTAAAATCCATGGTTTTGCAACACTGCAGCACAAAAAGAACAATTCAAGTTCAACCCTGTATAAGATATTTTCTTCGTATTACGTCCCATAATGTTTCATGAATAAGGACTACTGCTTAGTCCTATTGACAGACATCCACAATAGAAGAGAGGTTGTTTGCATGGCCAGGATATAAATAAGAAAAATGAATTCCAATTCAGTCGTGATTTCCTTCAAATATGTTTGGGCAATCATTGAAAAAGATCTTACCTGATTTCACAGGATATTTTCTCTCAAACTGTCAAAATTATGTTAAAATATTAAGAAATTTTTTCTGATCTGTAAAAAGCTAATTCAGTAATGCTTCACAAGCTCTTACACTTTGAATGGAAAGTTTATTCCCATTTACTGCCATGGAATTTCAAGTCTTGACCAACTGGTAATGTCTTAGCATCATCAGGTTTGTTAAGTCAGTGCATGCACTGTAATGTATATTGCTGTTCCCACTGTGAATGGTGTGCCACTGTCAACCCAAGAGCAACACTGCAGGTTGTACTGATACAGTTTTGCTGGCAGTAATTCATAAACTAAGTGAAGTGGTTGGGCCACCAGAGGAATGATGAATAGCCCTCACAAAAACCTCATTGCCTCCCTTTATAAAAGATGAAGAGGGATCAAGTCAAGGTGCACTTTGTTTGCATTCTTTTCTTGACTTGCCATAACCCAACTGAAACAGTAACACAAATCTCAGGGAAAGGCTGACACTACCCAAGAACAAACCATACTAATCAGAAACTTGACAAGAAGAACTTCATCAAGGAAGAAAATCCCAAAATTCCAAAACCCTTTAAAGTTGAAGATCTGAAAAACATAACTCGGCATCTAAAATGTTGCTCAAATGAGAGAGGGTTAATGAATGGGTCTGGTTGACCCAACTGCAAAGAAACTTTAAACCAAATGCACTGATGGGGAACAAGGGTGCAAAACTACCATGAGGCTACTGAGGATTCTTTTTAGATAGCTACATCATTTTTCTAGACAGTCCAACGGCAAATGTTTTGCTTCAGCATGAGTAATTCCACTGAGAGATTTCAGGCCAAGCTAAGGTAATAAATATGGAACAATTAAAAATAAAAAAAAAAGTATTTTAGCCCATTGATTTTTGAATACCTAATGAATTAAAAGAAAGTCTCTTTGCTTCCTCTTTCTTTACATTTGAGACCTTATTTTACTCCTGCTGATAAACTGATCCCAGAAAGCATAATCAATGAATATAAAGACGCTATACTTATAAAATAAACAAGAGAGTTTTGGCTAAGTAGGCTATTATACCAAAAAGAGAATAGATAGAGTACTTACCCTTGTTCTGGGTTAGCTGTAAAGCTCCAAAGGAGGGATTTTCAGAAAGAGATCCTTCCCCCACTGGCAGTCAGCTCTTAAATGGGTCTAGGAGAGATGGAGCCAGGCTCCACCCCTTCCAGCAGCACAGGTGAATTGCCTTCACCTGAGCTCCCAGGGCTGACTCATTGCTTGCCTCAGGTGATCAATCAGGTTCAGGCCATGATTCAGCAGTTCCCATACACTGAAGAATATGCACGTATAGCTTTCGTGCACTGACAAACTTCTCCATCCACAACATCTACTAATTCCACAGATGTTACAGTGTAAAACTCTTCAAAGCAATCATATGTGGAATAATGGGCTAGCTAATCTTTGTTAGAATAACAGCAGAATATGGAAAAAAAAATCAAAAAACTGTTGAACGCACTAAGGTAATCAAAACAGTTTTTAAAGCTGACTTTTAATGGACACTCATGTTTCGAAGAGAAGAAATTTATACAAGTACCTACCAGCAAGAATTCCTTCTATAACGTAAATTCAGTAAATCAAAATTTCTGCTTATTTTCTTGGAAAATGTTGAAACTAAGTATTTTCTGACTTCCACCATCTCTTTTCCAGTTGAACATACTTCTCTTCCACTATGAACTCCAGTTAAATTTATGCTCCTGGCAGGAAAGTCAGGTATTCTATCCTTTGCTCTTATCTCAGTGCACCCAGTCTTCATGGTTTGCTCTATTCAAAGTTCTGACAACTTTCCTGATAATTTTTTCTTTAAGCTCTCTTGAGCTGCATAGCTCAAAGTGTGGTCTCTCTTATGAAATCATTAGAAACTCTTCCATAGCTGGAGAAGTCTAGCAAGTATTTTCCAAGCACTCTCTGCAAGCCTTCAGGCACAGAAGTAGAATCTAGAGAAGCACAACTTGGCAGGAGTGGTCCTCAAAGACATCTATCACTATGGTTCAGGTGACCTGAAAACTGTTTTTAATGTGACACTCCATTTAAGCTGTGATAATTTTATAAGTGCTACAGACTAGAAATGTGCAAGCCTTTATTTGTAAGAGCAGTGGTTACTGAAAGAAACCAGAAGGTACCACCCCTGTTAAATTTCTAATTGGCAGATTCAGGAGGTTTGTCTAAACTGGAGAAAGTGCATCGCCTGGTTTAGTCATTAATAAATAACTCAAGGCCAGATCCAAAGTCTGTTAAAATTTATGGAAAAACCTCCCACTGACTTCAGTAAGCTTTGGATAAAGCACTATGTAGCTGTGCTTCTTCAAGGCATTTTAAGTTGGAGAGTATCATAACATTGTAGTTATTCTTTTAGTGCATCATAAAATTGTATCATCGTCACAGGAATTTGAACAGATGAAGGTAAGAATTGGTGAAATTTTTAATGCAGCATAAGGACAGAAAAAAGTAAAGTGATCCAGCCAGACTCACTGTACAGCCCGACCATACTCTCACTATGAGAATGATACTGTCAAGTTAACATTATAATTGGTGATGGGATTTATGCCAGCAGTTGACTCTGCTAGTGAGTTGGTCATCAGCTGAAATGGGGATGTAAACCTTAATAAGAATTGAAAGAACAGAACTGTTATGAGGAATTCCCCATGGAGCCCTTAACTAGTAGACAGTGTTATCTTTGCAGCTGTGCGTAGGAAGAAAGTATAGACATCCACAGTCTTCCTACAGCATGCACACAATGGTGTGTTTCAGATGAATGCTTTCTTCTGTTATGGGCTACCACTAACACGGATCCATCCTTACATCTGGCATGTCTGTCCTTTTATTTCTTTTTTTTTTTTTTTTTTTTTTTATAGCTGATGGGAAGCCCATTCAAAAGCAAAGATGTTATCTTTGAAATTTTTTTTTATTTTTTTTTCATTTTAAGTAGCAGTACAGTTGTGCTTTCATACGTATACAAAGAGCAAAAGCTCAGTGGGTGGTTTTCTACCCTCATCTTCTGAAATGACTTTTAAATATGCTATTTTGATGAACAATGCTATCTAAAAGGCGTTTTCAGACACAAGCTGTGTGCTTTTTTCAAGTTTTTCTCCACTAATACACACCAGTATATAAACCAGCAGCCTTCAGCACTGTGCAAAATTATAAAGGTTGAAGCTTACTAGTAATTTAAAAATGTATATATCAAAATATAAGTGACAAAGATGATGATTAAAGTGTATTACTGAGCACACTAAATGCCTTAGTAGGAGGCAATTGGATACCTTTGATTAATAAGACATTGAAAACCTGATACAGCTAGGCTATTTTCCACCACTGCAGCAGCACAAAGACATAATAAACTGAGGTTAACCAAGCAATTAAATTGGTTTGTAGCTGTTTTGTATCACGAGAGCTGCACAAAGAAGCCAAGATACATTATTGAGTACAGCTCCAAATGTTTAAATATTATTTTCAGAAAAATGTAAAAAACTGATAGCAGTATGCTCCTGTGAATACGCAGCTTTCCTAACAAGGGCACCGATTTTACATCATCCATAAATCTGTCGTTACTGAATTCAAAGCATGTTGACCTAGAATCACAGAATCATCAAATCACTAAGGTTGGAAAAGATCTCCAAGATAATCCAGTCCAACCACTCACCAATCACCAGTATTTCTCCACTAAGCTATATCTCTCAATACAACATCTAACTATTTCTTGAATACCTCCCACATCTTTTGACACAATTTATCTCTGTCTCTGGCAGGAACAAAGGATAATTTCTACATTGCAATATTCCTTTTTTAAAAATACATAAGGATTGTCTAATATATGTGACGGATAAGCTAATGGAGTAGTTAAATAACTTGCAAGAAAAATATGAAAGCTATTGGTCCGGTTGATATCTCACAGCTAAAGTCCTTGGCTATCATGAATAGTTATTTGAGCAGAAAATGTCAAATCACCACCTTACTGTGGGGAAATACTACGGATTGCTGGAGCTGTGTTTGGCACAAATCAGAGGCACACGAGGAACAGCCCAGCTATCTTTATATGCCCCCAACTCTGATTATGACCACTATCCAGTTTTATCCTCAAGATAAATTAGAAAAGCTTCAGCACAGCTTTATCTCATAACATCCCTCAAGGGGCTGTTGCACTCATCAGAAATCACCAGCGCTCCAAATCCTGCTTATCTCCATGAAGACGAGGGTGGGCTGATAGGAAAGCAGCTACACCATCTTCCTGTTAACTGAAGATTTCCTCCGTCTGTTAGCACTGGGAAGAAAGACTGAGTGGAGATGTGATAAACAGTGTTCAAGGGTATGAAAGGTTGTTGCAAAGAGGAAGGGAACAAGCTAATCCCCACATGCAAGGCAGATAGGACAAAAAAAATGATGTGTTCAAGTGGGAGCAAGAAAGACTGTGGTACGAAAGATTACAGCAATGTTTTCTGGGTGGTGTTTTCATTGAGAGAAGTGCAGGGAAAGATGACTACCTAGAAAGAATACAGAGTTTCTTCATGAAGATCTTTAAAAACAGGTAGATAAAATCATTATCCCAAGTGAGATGGGCATGCTTTACCGTGCCTCACTGTCACTGAATGGCCTGTTTTTGTTACAGTCCCTTATCACTAGAGGAGCTGCGTATACTTCCAGATAGAGATCAGAAACCCTATCTACTCAAGTTCTGTTGAATAGGTCACCAGATTTAACTGATCTAACTCTTGATTTGCAATTACTTAGTGGCCAGATTTCTGTGGACAAAAGAGCGTATTTTGTTAACAAATTCAACTCATTCTCCTTTTGACAGGAGATCTACCATATCAACAATTGTAAACAGCCTTCCCGGGACATTTTTACAAAAAAAAAAAAAAAGTAGTGAAGAAAGAAATCAGTTAATTCTTTCAAGAATATAATTGCGTTGTTTGAAATATTTTCATATATAGGATGAAAATTACTCAGAAAGAGGAATCTTAGACTTGGATCTGAATGGCAAGTCTTCATTATGGAAGGCCGTTCCTTATAGATCTGCCAGAGATATCTGGAAAACATTTGATATTTGTCGGAAACCAAAGTAGTAGTGGTATATAAGTGGGATCACACAAACACAACAAGAGGTATTTTTACTTCCTATTGCTACAAAGAAGAAATTAAAGAGACCACAAGTAAATATGGGGATTAATTTCCTCCTCGTTGCCAGGAGAAGCATCAGCTGATATAAGGACTTGGAAGTCTCATGCTTACAGGAAGGTTTTTGTCTGTTTTCTTTCCTAGTCAGCACTGATAGGATTCCATTTCATTTCTGACAGTTGAAATTTTATTTCATGTTCTATTAATGTTCAAGTCCAGATACGAATAATATCTGATGATGAAAATTCTGGGATTAACTTCTGCTTTTTGGGTGTGTGTACATCTGGACCCAAATATGACATGTATTTCTTACTCATAAGCTCCCAAATAAACAACAAAAACGCCTGTTTAAAAAAAAATAAAATAAAATAAAAGGTGAAATGTATTCCTTTTCTCAGTGACCTATATTACAAAGTAAACTCATCTGTCTGTTTGTAGGTAACAGTTCAGGATAACAGATGAACAGACTTGACAGTAATAAGCTGCTTTGGCCTCACGCATTTGAGCATAGCCATTTTTTAACTAATGAATCATCTATAACAAGTCAGAATAGCCAGAAGTAAGTCTTTCCTTAAGGCAGATGTTCTCGTTACTGAATCAGGCCAAGCGAGGTGGGATTTCTTTTAACCAAATGCTCATTCTGCACCGTCAGTTTTTCCTCCTCACCACCCACTGAGTCTCACTTTCCATGTCCTTCAGCTGCCAGCTACCACAGCTAACCTTCTCAGAAGCAGAGATCCTCCCTTAGCCTGAGGCTGCTCTCCATCATTGGCTTTGGAGCATGTGTACCAAGTTAGTTTTCAAACATGGTTTCCTTGCATTATATATAGCATATTATGCTGCTAGACATGGTACTGGGGTGGCCTTTTTTAGCTACCTGTTGGATTGGTGAATTCATTCCCCTGCTGCCCTGGGGAGCCTTGATAATGATTCCATAGGCTTTCACGATGCTTAGCAAGAAAGCAGAAATG